ATCTGAAATTTCTTGTTCTTATTTATATTATAATGCTTTATACATTTTATTTTCAATTAATTTGATTAGATCTCTATTTATTTTTGAATAATTCCCTTCACTGAATTAGTTATTTTTATATCATTGGTTGTTTTTCTTTAAAATAACTGTAGCATTTGTTTTATCAGCTGGCAAACTTTTAATATCATTTTTAAGGACTATGTAGATTTCCTTTCTTTTAATAAGTTATTTCTAATAACAGTTTTTCAAGTTCAATTTTTATTTACTTCTAAATTCATTAGCTAAGTTTAACGGCAACTTTTGTGTAGTTTGTTTATGTAATTTAAGAATATTTTTTGGCTTTACATCATAATTTAGCACTTTACTCAAAACTAATCTTTCAGACGTACTAAGATGTGTATTTACGTATGAATCAATTAATAATTAATTAGAATTTATTTTAGTAAATTTAGATCAAGGAACACACTATAAGTGTTACAGTTACTCTGGCATTATACATGTATAAAAATATATAATTTTCACTATTAGAAAGACGCTATAAGCTCTTATTTTCTTTTTTATTTATTTGGGTATTTTACCACCTATGAATATTAAAAAAAATAATAATTGCGTCAATAAGATTTAGGGTTATTTTTATGAAAATAGTTTTGCCTAACCAAAAACCTTACATTGCAAAATACACACATTAGAAAATTCACATCACTATACCGACATATATTGCACACTTCAATAAGTTGTTATTTATTACAAACCATACTTATTGTTAGCACAATTTCAGCCTATAAAATTAATCCTAATTTTGCACGTAAATATTGATATTTGCAGAGATAAATATACCGCCCTTTTCTTAAATTCACCTAGCAATAAAAGCGTGCCGACAGACTTTCGCTTTCTATAGCAATCCCATCACTTTACTGCCCTGTCGTTAAACCCTTGCAGAATAGAAGAGTTGGCGTTTCGCAAAATGCCATAAAGTGCCATTAGGGTTAACTTACCTAGCTCACTCTTTGACAAAGGGGTTTTCGCAACGCCATAAACTATATTTCTGCTGGAATTCTGCATTCAAAACGTTGCTCCAGTATTGCCTAATAAATTTTGCAATTTGTTTGGATTGCATTGTGTTAAATTGGGTAGTACCAGGAAGTGGAATATTAGGAAGAGTTGGCAACACTTTCTCTCATCTACTGAAATGGGTCTGAAAATAATATTTAAAATAAACAACTGGTTAAAACCAAGCCCAAAAAACTAACACTTATACGGTGTAAGAACGGATGACAAGTAATCAACACAAAATTCCATATTTGCATCAAATATCATTTTTCAAAAATAAAGATTCATCCCGTTCTTGCAGCACTTGCAGCAGGGTCTTCGGTTTAAGTATATTTCTATTTATTTCCTAAAATTACAACTCATAAGTCTTTGTACAATAAACAGTATTTTGACCCCAAGGACAATAAAATCAGTTTAAACTCGATAATGGTCTTTTAAGAAGAGATAAAAGCACGGGTGATCATCATAAAGTTCTTTTTCAAAGGGCACCGACGTGTTTTATTAGACGTGATGCACAGGGCTGTTACAGTCCTTTTCTTAAACACCTTTTTCTGCCTCCGCTCAGGGATGTTTGGCAAATATCAATTATAATGCATTATGAACATATTTAGATTAGTGAGACTGGCTGTAAACTGAATATAACCATGGAATTTAAGATATTATGTATAGGGAAATAATCATATTTTTCAAGACCTCCAAGTTTTGCCGGAAAAAATTGAAAAACAATTATTTTCTTGGAAAGTTATTGAGACTGAATAAATCGACTAAAAATCCCTTAACAAAAATTTTTGCGAAGATTTATTAAGTCGAAAACATTTTGGGAAATTTTGTAAAAATTTTAATAATTATGCAAATTGGGAGATAGTAACACAAAATATTTATTTAAAATGTAATAATATTTAATTTTATTTGTGTTACAATTGAATGCTAGAGCTATTTACTACACACGCATTTTTAGCAATGTTGTTTTAGAAAAAGTTGTAGTTTTTGTATACCTATTACAGATTTTTTTTTACTTTTTATCCTACAATTTAAAATATTTGGATCAAGGTTTACATATTATTACTTGCTGAATTTGAGCATGGTCCAGTGTTATCTGTTATTATTATTATAAATTTATAGTCCAATTAAATGGGCCTTTTAAATCGCAATTTTGGCCAACTTTCCTGAATTTTTGATATAAGTGAGTCTGAGGTATTTATACAGGGTGTCTCATAATTAGCTGCCAACCCTGAACAGACCGATTCTATGATCAAAACTAAGTAAAAAAGTTCATATGAACATGGGTCCGGAAATGCTTCCTAAGGGCACAGGGACCCATTGAAGAGGGAGGAATGGAAATTATTTTTTTGCAATATCTCTCAATCGCGTTGTGATAAATGAATGAAATTTGGTATACACAGCTAAATTTTGATGAGCAATTTGATGGACTAATCCATTTATTTCCACAAGGTCCATTGGGGTGGGTACGGGGGGGCCCTTGGTACTTTGCGTGTGTAACTTTTTCATCTTTGACTTTTTAACA